TGGGGCCGCCAGTAGAACACCAGCAGAAGGGCCCCGCAGGTCAGCACAGATGCTATAAGACAGAAGGCTCTGCGGAGATTCTGGGTCTGGTAACCAAACACCTCCTGGGGAGAAAATAAGAGATCACTCTATTTTTCTTTTTTCACATAAACATATTGTTTTGTTCCAAGAAACACAGTCTTTAGATGCAGGAGTGTTGGGAGAGAAATCTGACTTTGGCTGGTTGAATCAGATTGATTGCTTACAGCTGTCAGCTGATAGAATTTAAAAAGGACTTATTTTACTACCCTGGCATATGGAACTAAAACATTAGACAGGAGGAGCAAGGAATGGGCAGACTTAATTGGTTCTAAATAGTCTTAAAAGTCACCTCATATTTTTATAAAGTACCTCATGTTTTGGACTAGATTTACTTTATTTAGGTATAAGGTTTTTTTAAAAAAAAACAATTGTTAACAGAAATTTATTGGAGGAAGATGATAAAATCATAACAGACATGATACACATTTCTATATATAGCTTTATTCACATTCAGCTTTGTTTTAGAATAACATGATTGAGAGGGATTGAAGGTATAAATAAGTGTACTGCTTTCTAAACCAGTAGGATGGTATAAATTAGAGATTATCTGTGGACAGGAAAGACTTTCAAAAGACAGTTTAAAGGTATTTACCCAGAGAATAACATGCTGAAATAGTTCTACTTTTAGTAGTAGGTTAGGTAATATTTGCCACAAATTGAATAAAGACTTGAGATGTGGTTTCAGGGAAAAGCAAATAGCCAAGGACAATATATTTGTTCATTTAAAGCCAATTTCTAGTTTCCATCTTCTACGATGAAGCTTCACAACTTGTTTTTTTAATTATAAAAGCTAGATTTTTCAGACACTAAAAAGGTAGTGACCAGGGGATGGAAGGTGGGGAATAAGATTGATGGTATCTAAGGGTACAAACTGTAACGAGTACTAAAATAGCCATAGAGATTTAATGCACAGTAAATTGAACACAGACAAGAATATTGTACTATAAGTATGTAATGTGATAAATATTGTAACATGAGAAACTGTATTGCAATATATAAGTATATCAAAGTAACATACTATACCTTAAATGTACAGTTACAAGTCAAAATTTTCCAATTTAAAAAAAAAAACTTGATTTTTAGTGTATTTAGAAGACCCAGAGGGATGCTGGGTGTGAAGGACATCATTACTATACTATTTTTTTAGGTTCTGCTCTTACTGTTTGGTTTTCTTTCTATGACTCTGAACTCCTGTGTCTAGAGCATAGAGCTGTGATGTCAAGAACATAGGCTTTTACGAGTTTTTGTAGCACTTTCAAATGATGGAAACTTCTGAATTTTATGCCATGTTAGATCATATCATAATAAATCTCTTGGATTAATTTTTGGAAAAGTTTTCATCTCTGCAGTATGCTTATTTTCATTATGTTTTTCTAATAAAGAACTCTGTGGTAGATGAAGATTTTAATAACAGTTGTTGAAAGTAATCCTTAAACATGGTGGAAAGGTTACAGGCTTAAGAAGCAAATATGTAAATTTGGCTCTGCTAGTTATCAGTTATGTGATCTTAGGTAAATCATTTCACCACTAGGGAATCCAAATTTACTCCTCTACCAAAAAATTAGAAATACATGCCTTACAGGATACTTATGCTCAGATGAGATAATGTCTCCTTAAGTGCTCTGCGAAGTAATTACAATTTTAAGAGCTCCTTTCTACTGGTCCTCAACACTATCACCCACCTGGGGAAAATGTTCATTTAGTTTAGTGAGGCAGCCACTGTATTTTGAGATTATTCCTGCTCATTTTTTAATGTAACTTAGAAACGTGTATATTCTGCTTTCAAGTATATTTTTGGTTGGGTCTCCTTTCTCTCTATCTTCTCTCTGATTGTGGTTTTATTTGTGAATTTACTTATTTATAGCTTTATTAGACCCAAATAAAATGTATATGCCAGTTCACATATTATGTCATAAATATTCATTCTTTTTACTAAGTTATTTATGGGGGCTTATTGCCAAAGCCCAAGAGTGTGCAAAATAGAAGCAGAACAGTTAGAAATTTAAGTCCAGCTTATAGCTAAAATGACATTCGTAAATAACTTTCCCTTTTACTGTTTACTTATACACAGTAATGACATTGGTACTCATAATTCTGACTCCTTTTAGTTCTTTTCTACACAGCATTTTTTTATTATGAAACTGACAACATTTTTTTTATTAAAAAAGGAACTTACAATGCTAGCAAGGCTGCAATGAAATCACTATAGCTATATACTGCTAATAACCCTATAAATTGAAATAATTCTTTAGGGAAAGCAAGGTGACAAATTATATCAAGAATTATAGAGATGTTCCTGTCCCTTGAATCGTTAATTCCACACTTAGAAATATACCCTAAGGAAATAATACATAAAGTAGAAAGCATTATCTGTAATAGCATAGCTATTGAAAGAACCAAATGATAGCTAATGGTTCAATAAGATATGAAACATCAAAACAGTGGGCTATTGAGGAGCCATTAAAATCAAAGGTATGAAGTCAATGTGGACACATGGGACATTCTGTGACATAATGTTAAGTGAAGAAAAGAACAAAGAACAGATAGGATAGATGAAAAACAAATAGCAATATTATGAACTTTAACCCTACTCTATCATTAATTACATTAAATGTAAATGGCCTTAATACAGACTAGATAATAAAAGAAGACCCACTATATGCTATTTCCAAGAGACACATTTTAAAGAAATTAATTAAATAATTAATTAAAAGAAACAAATCGATTAAAAGAAAAAAGAAGGGGAAAATGTACTATGCAAAGATTAACAAAAGAAAATTGGTATAGCTATATTAATATCAGACAAAATAAACTTTAAGAAAAGAAATATTATGAGAAAAAGTATATTTCATAAGCTAAAAGATCATAAAAGGGAAAACATAAAAATCCTAAATTTTGTGCACCTATAAATGTAGTTTCCAAATTTGTAGAACAAAATTAATAGAACTTAAATCCATTCTCATCACTAGAGATTTTAATGCATCTTTCTGTCTAATTAACAAGACAAGTAAACCAAAATTTTTTTTAAAAATCAGTAAAAATACAGGAAGTTTGAACAACCCCATTAACTAAATTGCCCTAATTAAGAAACACAAAAAATTATAGCCCAAAATTGCATAATTTAAATTCTTTTCAAGTATACATAAAATATTTACCAAAATTGACCAATTATGTAACATAAAGTGTAATGATATTATAATTAAATTAGAAACTAATAATGGAATGATAACTTTAAAATTCCCAAATGTTTGGAAATTAAACAACATATTTCTAAATAATATATGTGAGTCAAATAAGAAATTACAACAAACATTAGGAAATATTTTAAACTGAATGAAAATAAAAATTAACAATGAGAGCCCCCAAATACAAAGAATCTGAAGATACATCAACAGAAGAAAGATAAATAAATTTTGTGTTTTCGTGCAATGGAATACTACAAAACAATAAAAAAGAATGAACTTCTAATGCATAAGACATTAGATGAATTTCACAGACATTGTCCTGAGTACATGAAGTACCACAAAACAATGCACAATTCTACTTATATGAAGTTCAAAAATGAGCAAAACTAATTGATGATAGAGATCATTAAAGTGCACACTTAAGATCATTGCCCTTTATTTATATAAATTTATATAAATACACCCACTGTATTTATATGTCAATAAAAGGTAAAAAAAAAAAAGTGGAGTAAATTTGTTTATTAGACACTGTATTCCAAGTAGGTAGAAGATATTTTAATTACTTCAGTGGGATTTGATTGAGATAGAAAAGATAGTAACAACATATTAGAACTAAATTTAAAAAACAGAGCCAGAGAAGGGATTTCCACAGGAAATGGGAGGTTTCATAACCTGGGAAGAATGGAGCTGCTTCCTGGTGTGGACAATTGGGAAGCAGTGACTTCCATTGGAGCAGAGGTAAAAATCACAACCCTAATAACCGAAATAAGAGAAGAGGTTCCTGAGAATGACAATGCTTATGGCTGTGGACACCCCAGTCACAATGTCAGCAGGTTTTTTTCCCTGTCTGTTAAAAAATTAAGTAAGTTGATAAGTCAGTAAGTAAATAAGTAAGAACTTGTAGGTCTCCTTAAGCAAAGATGCATAGAAGCACTGTTTTTGCTTCCTTGGTAAACTGGCCTCATAAACCTTGGTAAAATTCCTTTCTAGATCATTTCTCAGTTTTCTCAGAGATTACGGTGCTAAGTATGGGACTTGAAGTTTGGGCTAAAAGAAACACTACTTTAGGTGGCATTTTGTAAATCAAATACCCTCAATCAGCTTGCCAATGTCTATGTGATTCGAGTTTATCACACTATATGTTTCTATTTTGACCAATTAATCTCAAGTATAATTTGACTGTTCTAACAGATAAGTTCTGCAGGTGCAGTACGAGTCACTGTGACTTTTCCTAAATATTTATACATCCCTGGTAAAACCACTAGGAAATGCAGAGTAGAGGAGGGAGCCAGGGGCAATATTTGTACCAGAAGAGGAAGGTAAGTAGAATCCAGACGTCTGGTAAATGTAAAGATGCCGAGAACATAAGTGAGAGGGTCAAATTCTCAAATACATTATATATGGTTTCTTGTAGCAAAGTGAGTTTTGTCACCTATTACTTATGTGACCTCAGGATTTAACCTCTCTAAATCTCATCTTCCATCTCTGTTCTTAGGGAATATTAAGAATACACCTGGAAGACTAGTTGTGAGGAT